TCTGAGCACCTGTTGCTGCTGTCCTTGGGACTGCACGGCTCTGTAAAGCCTTTGGTTAGCCTGTGAATAGCCTCAGTTTAGTTTTGGTTGATCCCTTACTATGAAGCACTCTAACAATGATGGAAAACAAAAGCTAGGGAACAAATAAGGCAAAAGGCTACATGCTTCTCATGCTTCAGCATTTCAAAAACGTATCTTAAATTAACGGAGGAGTGCCAACAAGGATTGACACCTCATCTGATCATGCAGCCTGCACTGATACTATTTATGTGCCTCCGTATGAGCCCATTTTCTGCTGGGAGAGTAATTTTACCAGTGTGGTACTGAAGCCCATTACATAAAATGATAAATACTTTCATATCTCTCATGCACTTACCTCTGTTGCAGAAGTCTTCATTTCACAACACATACTGCAAAGGGGAAAAAACATGGCTTTGTCTTTACCTGATGACTGAAGCTTTTGAGTTTGTGTCCCTCACAGCTATTTATTTCCACATCCTGCTGGAGGGGCTGTTCTGTCTGCAGAAGGAAAAAATATTCAATGTGTTTCAAGTGATCTTCAAATTAGAGGCCAAGTGGGAAATGTTCCCACAAATGTTCCTTGGAATTCATAAGAGCCGGACATCAAAAATTATGAAGTTATTTGAGGTTTTAGGCTCTGCAGCTAGAACAACACAAGATAAATCAGAGAAAACAACATAGTGTCTTCCAAGTGTTTGGATCCAAAGCTGTTGCAATTCTATGTGTATCTGTATACCAGAGACCGTATCTCCTTCCCTTTCATTCATATGCAGATTTCTCTTGCAGTATGCTGAGAAGCTCACACATCTGATAGTTAGCGGGTAAACATTTACAGAACAAAGTAATATAGTTCCCAAAATAATTTAAAAATTGGCCTAGCTGCAAATTACACTGAATGATGATCATCTGTGATCCCAACAGGATGCAATTAGCATACGCCAAAGTCAGCAGAGCTGCGAGCGAAGGCGCAAGAAGTGCTGGGGCTGGGGAGGAAGCTGGGCCCTGCAGGAGGAGGAGGAGGAAGAGGAGAAGGAGGTTTGTCAGCAGCAGCCATCTGAGAGCCAGCTCCCTCTCTCCCAGTGTCTGCTGGGCTCTGGGGGGTCTTTTTGCAATCCTGCAGCTGGTGTTAATGGCCACAAATTGCTTTGGCTGCTGCAACAGATCCCATGCGTTAAGCAAAGCGTGTGGGAGCGGCCCCAGCTCAGCCTCTCCCCCAGTGCCACCGATCTGGGATTGCCAAGTGGTTTTCCAACCACTTTCATTCAAGGGTGGTGCTTGCTTCTTCCTGCGTGTGCAGGAGCACCAGTGTGCCCAGGGCTGGCTGTGGCACCAAGTGCCTGGTTTGGATGGCACCGTGTGGTGTTTGCCATGCAGGCAGTGGCTGTGTGACAAGCAGGATGCAATGACCTAAATAAGAAACGACGCATTTCTCTGCAGAAGCGATGATAACAGACCTGTTTACCACAAGCCAAGGTAACTAGGTTTATTCAGGCTTTTGGTTTAGATAGATTCAGACCTGCATAACTTTCCCTTACTGGAATGTTACTATGAAATGTATAGGGTACTCTTCAGTGGGCGGCTCTGTTGGTGGAGACTGGCTAAAATAAGCTCTCAGTAATTTAAATCAGGATTCTGAAATCCCTAAAATTAAGGAATCTCGGTTAGGAATTAAGAAACCTCTCTCTCCCTCTCTCTCTCTCTCCCTCTCTCTCTCTTTTTTTTTTTTTTTTTTTTTTTAGGGAGTGTTTTATGAGGTGGCAGAATATTTATGAATATAGCTGCTGCTAAGCCATTCTCCCAAGGAATGGCAAAGGCAGATGGTGTTTGGATCAGGATCGAAGCAGGGAGCCCCAGGGCTGTGTGGACGGTTCTGTTTCGGCTGTAAATCTCCCAGTGCTTGTCTTCATCCTATCACTCCTATAATTCACATGTACTGCTAAACTGTCAGCACATTTCTTCTTGTTAATAATAAGTCTAAGAAGGGTTTTATTTTTCATTTTTAAGAGTGGAAGATTGCAGATGATGCTAAAAAAAACAGGTCATGACATTTTCCTCAGAGGACACCAGACATAATTTTGTATTACACAGACAGATAAGGGAAGAAAGAGAATTAATTACAAGGAAAATAACAGTGCAAAACACATTACTTTTTTTTTTTTTTTTTCTTTTTTCAGAAAGTCATCTTTATTTTCCATGAGAGCATGATTCAGGTAGACATTTAACCATCTGCCCAAAATTTAAGGTCAGGAATATTCCACTGTCACATATTCTCTTGCTTTAAGCTACTCATGTCCTTAAAAACCTAAGGTTTGCAAAACGGAGGTAAAACTCATATGGCTGACTGTGCATAGAAAAAAAGGTCAGTTTGAAAATGTATGGCCAAAGTCAAACTACTCGTGCTTAAGGCCCACTGACCTCAAAAGAAAGCATGACTCTCTAAAACTGTGGGCAGCAGAATTCTTTCTAGAAGTCATTGTCGACAGAAGAGGATGGGCCCTGCAAATGTAAGGAGCAGTTAATACCTGGGTATCTTGCAACCCCCCAGTTTCCTCTCCAAATTAAAGGCAAAATTCTGCTCACAAAACTTGTTTTCCAAATGAACTCTTTACTGGAGGGCTATCTTTTTTCTTTTAAAAGAGTAATGCATGTTCAGTGCTGCAAATGCATGTTCAGTCCCTGCTATTTTCTTTCCACAAAGTGTCCGGATGAGGACTCGGGGGCAGAGGACCATCAGTTCACTGCACCTACAGGCTGCTGCAGGGAACGGGGGAGATGTGGTGTCTCCCCAGCATGCTCGTGTGTGCTCTGTAGGCACCCCTGCCACAGACAAGGATTGATACCAGGAATTGTGAGGGATGTGAAACTCATAATTCAACCACAGGGGAAAGGCAAAAAAAAAAAAAAAAAAAAAAAAAAAGAAAGAAACAACAGAGTTCTTCTTTGCTCATGGCAATTTTGTTGACCACTTATTAAGTTACATCCATTGTATGATATGAAAGGACTCCTCCTTTTATCTTGACAGCCGTCAGGATCGAAACAGTAATAAAACTCCGCTGACAGGTGCCACAAAGGTGACTTTGTTCCCACAGCCCCTCTTAAATTTTGGCTCGATCAGCGAGCAAATAAACCCCATGAAGTTCTCACTGAGCAATTTTAGGCTGAGGAGGAGTGTTGTAAATGCTCATTTTAGTTTTGGCCAACTCTGCTGGAAGACAAAAGAGGTGCTTTAATAGCAGATTATGTGTATATGTTAAGCCCGCAGAAGCCAGAAGCTGAGGCGGAGCGGGTGATGTTCTGATGACAGCTTCATAAGATGACTCACAGACTCAGTCTGTTTAACCAGTGCTGCTGAAAGCCACTGTTATTTATGCTTCTGTGGACAAACAACATCCAACTTCTTACCAGGGTGAGACTCGGGGCCACGTCAGGCTCTGTCCCACCGCACCTGCAGGCTGTCTGAGGCCAGACACCAAGAAACAGGCAGTGCAGAGACAAGGCACCATCCACCCCCTCCCTAGCCCTGATGGCAAAAGGCACTGCAGTATCACTAAGAAATGCAGTCTTCACGGACATTTTTGGGTAAGCACTGCAGGGCTTTAGGAGGCTGTGCGTGCAGGTCCTCTTTCCTCCCCTTTCATTCCCAGATCCCCAGCCAGCCTGGGAGGGAAGGGGAAATGGGCTTACCCCCGGAGCCTGGGGGGCTCACCCCACCACAGAGGCTGCAGCACAGCAGAGCTGTAGGGCAGGAATTTGTTCCTCCCCAGGCTGCTCTCCTTGCCACACAGGCAGTAGCTGAGTCCTGCTGAGGAGGAAGCCAGAGAGGGGTGCTGCAGGTCCGTCCTTGCCCTTCCCCAGCATAGAGCAGAGGAGCCTGCGGGGGCACAAAGACAGCAAACCAAAGCAGACAGCCTGGCACCAATATTGCAGATATTGGAAATGGCATCTGATCATTTTGATATTGCTGAGGATACCATACATCTAAAAATCCCATCACAGAGGTGAGTAAACAGAGCAGAAGGAGGATCACCACAGCCTGACTCTGCCTGCATAAACACCCTCTATATGGCTTTATGGAGTCATTGTACAGTTTATTGCATTTTTTGGCTCAGTACAAGACATTTTATAATGACACTAGTAGGTGGCCCTACAAGAGCAAAGTCTCCTATCTGGCAGCATATAATTAATATGTAAAAAATAAAGTCAGGCTCTCTCTTTGACAGCTTATGAGTATTCTAGGCATCACAATGTTATATACTTTATGACAGCTTTGATCTTGAGGAATGAAAAAAAAAAAGTCTATATTCAAGAATTTAATTTGAAGTATTTAGAGATCATAAACTCCCAGGGTGAGATTTTCTGCTGCCACGCTCCTTGCACAGAGTCCACAAGAAGCAGGTCTCGGTCTCTGCCTGCCCAATATTTCCAACCTGTGGGTTAAATGACCACCCCAAAACCAGGTCCCGGTTCTGATCTCAGCTTAGTCAATGTAAATGCAAAGCAGCTTCTACAAAATCAGTACAGGCACACCAGGGGAAGACCAGGACAACCAAGCTCTGTGGCTTTATGCAACGCGGCAGGAAGAGTAGGCCAGGCTCCATAAGCGGGCTCATCAGTATGCTCCTCGTGGCAATGATCTCAACACCAGCAGATTTCCCAGTTCAGTGCCTTCCTGAACTGCCTTTGGAAACTTCCCAAGAGAAGCCCCAGAGTGACCCCGTGCAATCATTTTGCCAGGGAAAATGGGCTGTCAGTCGCCTGTTCTTATAGCGCTGGTCACAGGCCAGGGATCAGGGCCTGCACACACGGGAGGCTGGTGTGAGTCAGCAGATGTGAGCACAAGAAATTTGGCTTGTATTTATGCCTTACCAGTGAATGTCCCTATTATTTATTTATTTATTTATTTATTTATTTATTTATTTATTTATTCTCCTTTATGACACTAACCCGTACCTCCTTTGAGCAGTAACGTGGCTGAAGATTTGGAGCAGGTGTGGAGACCATCCCGTCCCTCCTACCCTTGACTGTTTACGACCTGGCCTCTCCCCCAAGAACTGAGGTTTTTGGTGATAGCTTTTGGTGCTGCTGGTTGAGGATGAGTGCACCTGAGAGCCTCTCACACATACAGAGGGGAGAGAGAGGCTGTGATCAGCTCCTCACTGCTTCTCTCTTGCTACAAACCCACACCACAGGTTAGTGTCTTAGCATGTCCCATAGGTGTATATGTCCCCAAATTATCCAGGCTCGGGAGGCTTGGATACTGACGTGTGAATGATTTACAGGAGAGCAAAGAGGGCTTGCACATTTGGGAAACCTTGTTTGGCAAACACAGACCACTCCCATGCTGCTGGTAACCCTGGCAAAACCAGAGGCAGAAGTGAGCTACAAGAATCTCTTTCAGATTGCAGCTCCTATCCACAACATCTCCCTGAATTTCATATAGAGAATTTTTCCAGGCACTTTGATGCCATACATCCATATTAGACAGAGCGGAGATGCTCTATTGTACTGATTTGGCTCGCTGGAAATGATTGGGAATTTTCTGATAGAAAGCTGTAGAAAATGAGCACATTGGGCTCATGATGTGCAATTCCCTGTGCAAATGTTTCTAGATCAGAGCTATCTTTTGCCCTTGTGAGCTCTCTGAGTTATATGTTTACTTATTAACCGCAAACCACCAGTAAAACAAGGCAAGATTTTGTTGCTCTATTTGTGGACAGATAATGAGTACATAGATACATTTGTAGTCCTCAGGACGTGTATTAAGAGACATTAACTGTCTAAGTTCACCAATTTAATGCCATATCATCCAGGAAGAGGCTTGTGTTAAATAAGTTTCAAGATTTTACAGCCTTCCAACTAGTGGAATTTTTTTAAAGGGCATAAAAGAGATAGCTATCTTCTCCAGCATTGCCCCGGAGAATTGACCTTCCTACAAAGAGAGCAGTCTTTCAGCAGGAAATGTTTGGGCACGTTTTTCCTGCCCTTCAAATTGATTTCACTGAGTACATCCCCGCAGTCTCAAAGCAAGAACAGATTGTTGCTATTAACCTCATGATGAAACTTGATATTAATGTGTGTATAAGTAGTACGTAAACGATTAACAGGTGTTAGAAGCCTGCAGTGGCTACGGAGCCTGGAGTGCATGCATACCTCAGCATATATTCCCAGGATCGGTTTTGGCTGGCCAGCCTGCTGTACGGACCAGATGCCGTGTTGTCCTGGTTTTGTTATCACCACTTGTCCCTGCAATTGGGAACTGAGCAAGCTGCTGTGGGCACTTACCAGCGGCCAGAGCAGGAGATGTTGGGCTGTGGGAGCCCGAGCAATGCCTGAGGATGCCGCTGTTCAGCCTCGGGGACAACAGCAGTGCCAATTGCTTTAGAAAGGCCAGTTTTTAAAAGCCTGTTGTTATTACTTGGTGCTCTTTTCCCTGTGATTAGTATGGAGTTGCTGCCTTGGGTAGTCATGGGGCCCCTGGTCCCGATATTTATTGTGAAACTGTCCTCAGTGTGGTTTCAGTGATTTTTTTAACTCTGCATGCATTTCCTGGCCCAGAGGAACTGGATTTATCGAGGCCTGTGCTTCATCATCCAGTACATGCTAGTTTGTGGGTTTGCACCTGCTTGCAATTTATCAAAGTCTCTTTTAAATGAATCGGAAGGTGTGAAAGGCAGAAGCTGTTTAGCACCTTCTGGATAATCGGAGGTGTGTCAGGCACCTAATAATAATGTATGCTCCACATTTCCCAGCGCCATTTGCAATGCAAACTACCAGCGTGAGGGCAATTTTCCAGAATGATTTGAAAATGTATGAATTCATTCAGTGCTTTTGTCAGCCAGAGCAGCTAGAGCAGCGGCTGGACACGAATTGGATATGAGGAATAATGGCACTGCCGTCCCGTCTTCTTGTCTTTGCCCAAATCCAGGTTGGCACTGTTTATATTTGCTCATCCCCAGGCCTATTTTTGCACTGGGCGCTTCCTGCTGGACGTGCCACAAAATGCTGTGCTGTTTAGTCAGCGAAAAGGTGGAAATACTCCATCCTTATAAATCTTGTAAAACCAGAAGTTTCCAAAACTCTAGTTTTCAGTGCACTAAGCATTCAAACTATATGTGAGGTGTGTTTATTCTGCACAGGTGCACTGCATGTTAAAAAATAATGGAAGTTAGCAAGTCCAGCATGAGAACTGCCGAAGTTTGGCATCAAGAGTGATTGAGTAATTGTGGGTGGTTTCCTGACATGTATATATGTGGTCGTAGGATTTCATTGCATGGGTTGGGATCTGACAGCTTCAGTGCTCTGAAGGAGCAGGGGCCCATAAGCGGGTGGCTGTGTGCATTTGCTGCCAGCGTAGTTATTTCCCCAGAGGCTTCCCTGTGGTGTGTGTGCTCGAACACACAACACGGCGCCACGCTACCTGAAGTATCACAACAGTATGCGAGTTCCCTCACAAGTAATTCTGCCTTTATACACTAACAACTCCTGTTTGACAAGGGCTATTATTATTCGCTGTGAATGGGTAAGAAATCAAGAGTTGAAATGGGTTGATTCATTTTGAATAACAAGCAGGGATTTCATTTTTCAGGCGTTTTGCATTGTGCAGCACTCTCTGTAGTGCACAACAGGGCTGCGGGGTGGTTGAGCTGTGGAAGCACAGGCTCTGGGCAGAGCTCAGGGGTAGGACATGGGGCTAAGAGAGGAAACGGGGAGAGGACAGACCTTGAATGAGAAGGGCAGCTTTAAGCAAGGTGCCCTGGCTCTCATACTGGCGGAGGGACAGCACTGAAGTGCCGCAGCACGGAGGTCAGTGCTTTCAAGTGAACTAAGGGGTCAATATGTGCAAAGGCACAAATTAATAGTTTTGGTGTTAGGATGGCTACAGCATTTATTTCAAACATCCCTTCTCCCATCTGCAAAGGAGTTTTGGAGAAACACCTGTCGTGGAAAGTTTCTGTGCTAATGTGAGAGCCCAGCAAGACTGCAAGCAATTTTCCAAAGAGAAGTGCCGGCTCTACGTGCCAGTCCACTGGCCCCAGCAGTAATAAAGAATATAACTAAGGCTATGGCTATGCTGGCTGGATTAGGAAGGATATCTTCTCAGTAATAATGACGAAGGCAATGCACATTTCTGCTGTGATTATACCCTCCCAGTAAAGCTGCTATTCACATTGTCACGAGTGACAAAAGGTTTTACTTCCAAAGCACCGCATACTTGTTTTGTAAAGGCTCATTTCGCAAAGGCTCTTCTGGAAGCTGTATTATTTGATTCATCTACTTTGTTTTGGGGTTTTGTGACTCCAGGTTCAAAGGTATGCCCCTTGGTATCTCAGATCTGCAATTAGAAACGTTGGGATAGTAATGCATATTTATTTCATATTGAAAGTATCGTGTGACCAAGTTCAGGTTCACAATCTGCTTTAAAGATGTAAAGTGGTGCATTAATCTAAGTTTTATACTCACACACATGTATATTTAAAAAGTTTGTTATGGACTTACCTTACAGAGAAATGTTTTATATGGGTTGAGATTATTTATTTATTTATTTATTTATTTTCTCCTGAAGTGTAACAAAGCTTATGCAAACAAGGAAAACAAACTTTGCTGATATTTATAGTGAAACTGCAAAGTGACACCACCAGCTTTTAAAGAAAGCCAGTGGATAAATGCCACATGGAAAATAAATTGTTAGCACCCCAGAAAGTGACAGTGCTATGTTTACTATGTTGATCTCTTTTTTATTAAGGATTGAATACCCAAATTAGGGTATTAGCTTTGTCTCAGCGTTCAGATTCCTCTAATGCACAGGTGATGCTGAGAATACTCTTTCTTCGCCTCTCTATCTGCTGAAAGCGATGCGTATGTGATATTTAAAATTAATAAGGCTGGAAATTTCAAATACCAGACAAGACACATGCAAGCATTGCAACCGGGGCTTCTTTCACAGCCATGAAAACAATGCCATGGCTTTATACTTGCTGTGTGCTTTATTGTGTCTTAAAATAACAAACAAAATAATTAACATTGCTGCAGTTCATGTTTTCTTGTGTCAGTTCCAGACCCTGAAGTAAAGGCTTAATCCAAGTCAAGTGTCTGGAGGTTGATCCCAAGGTGACTGGAAGTGCCAGAAGGTTTTACTGGTGTAACTGGTGGATGCTGGATGATGCTGTGGGAGCAGCCAGAGGAGCTGCTGGTGGCATGCTGCTCTGCGGGGTGAGCAGGGAGCTCAGGATGTGGAGCTGGCTGCTCAGCTTATAGGAGCTCAGACTGTACGGAGGTGATTCCTTCTCCTGGATAGGGTAGAGGTATTGCAATGGGCTGCTGCCCAGCCCGATGGGAGAAGCTGGCAGCCTCCAAGGGGGTTTCCAGGTCTCTGCTGCACACAGGGATGGATCAATCAGAAGGATGAGTCGAAAAAACTTTCAAATACAGAGAAACAGCACTCTGTATTCAAGGAGGATTCTGAGAGATTCAAGGGGATAAGAACAGACAGGAAAACATTTGGAAAACAAGCACGCATCCCTACTGTGTATCACTGCACTGCTCAGTGCACGTGGGAAAAGCATTTGATCAAATGCTGCCAAAGTCAACTTTAGGTACTATGATCATCCCCTGCCATGCACCAAAGCCTTATTTGAACCCATGTGCTTATTTGAACCTCAAGTAGGGGTTTTGCTGCTGGCGGCACCTGGCACAAGGTGGGATCAATGCGAAGGGGGGTGCTGCGGGAGCTAGCAGCCGCAGGAAGCAGAAAGCTGCAAACTGCTCAGTGCTTTGTGCCTACGTTTTCCTGCAAAACATACAGGGATGCATTATGCACCCATCACGCTGAAAGGGTTGGGCTGTTGGTGGCACCCGCGCTTCCTTCCAGCAGAGCCTCAGTTCATCTCCATCACTGATTTGAGGCCACCAAGCCATGGCCTTAAATGAAAATAACCACGTGATAGCAAGTGTTAGCTACAAGGCAGATCAGGTCTTGCCCACTCTTCTTAAGCTTGAAGTTACACCCTCGCTCCAGCCTTCCCCGTGATGCTTGGTGTGAGTGCTGCAAATATATGATGGATTTTAGGAACCTAGTTCTGTCATTAATAGTGTTGTGAAAATCATTGGGACCAGTGATAACACCTGTGTGAAGGAGATAGCATGGAGCTGCACTCTCGAAACTTAAAGCTGGTGTCCACTGGTTGTCCCA